ATAATATAAAGGCATTATCACAACAAATAACATGCGCGTTTATCAAAAATTAATTAATGTTTTTATTTTAAAATGATATACCGGTTACTAGTTATCCATGTGAATCTATGAATGATTGAATATGTACCATATCAAATCTCCCATCAGAATGTATCTTAATTACAATATCTCTTGTGACGTGGTTCTATTATTTAAAAGAAAAAAAGGAAAGTTCAGTGATTTTAATGCAGGGCCCACTTCTATTTGGTAAGGATATAAAAATGATTGAAAAATGAGATTTTGTTTACTTAACGTATATATGTGAGAATCTTTCCTTTCACAGATGTTGGTATGAAGTATAAGTCAACATGGCAGTGAAACTGTTTAAATCTAATCACGATAACAATATATTGCTTTTGTTTTATCGGAATTTATATTCAATCCTGATATAATTTAGCGTATTCATTTAATTTCTTCATTTCATTTAATTTCTTCATTTCTTCTTTAAGAAATCCTTTTGCTCCTTTTACAATAAGAGAGTATAAGTAGTATACATGCCAGCGTCATCGAGAGCATTTGATGTATTCAGTAATAATGTTGAGATGCTAAAATGTCTTTACTCAGTTTAATCTGAGAGAGTTAAAGTTTTATTTCTTGGTGATATGAATGTGAAAATCAAAGGGCCTCGTAGCGAATTTGTAGAAAACATTCGCTCTGTATGTTTTCAAGGGTTTTTAAACAGGTCTAATTTAATGTCGGTGAATATTCAAGGGAAGTGTTCTTTTCCATCCTATACATTCTGTCCCCAAACTGGAATACATACACTGATAGACCATGTAATAACTGAATCGAGAATGTTCGACCTAGTAAACAAGGTTTGTATATTAGAAGAAACAGAGTTAAACTTGTCGGAGCATCTACCTGTAATATGATCATTGAGCATTCCAACACAAGTGTTTCAGAGTAATCAAGCAGGAAATATGAGATGAGGGGGTTGGGGGGTTGGGGGGGGGGGGTGACACTTTTACCAGCAATACAACAATCAGCATATCAGAAAGGGTTATGTAGTCTTTTAACGTCTTTTAATCGACAAGAATGTATTAAGTATAACACAGAGAAAGGGGAAGATGTACATGTTGTGTTCCTTGACAGCAATAAAGCTTTCGATACTGTATGGCACACTGGGCTACCGTATAAACTACATGAACTAGGAATAAAGACAAAGTCATGGAGTATTATGAAAAGTATGTACACTGGAGTTAAAAGTAGTGTCTTATTTAACGGTTTGTTGGCGAGATGGGTAACTATGGAGCGTGGTATTTTACAGGGAAGTGCGCTCTCAGCAAAAATATATCTGGTGTTCATAAATGGTTTATTGAATAGTATTGAAAATTGTGGCAAAGGCGCAATTGTAGCGAATTTAAAGTTGAATGTCCTGACACAAGCAGATGACATATGTATTATTAGTACAAAATATTCTGGTTTACAGTATATGCTTCAGATTTGTGAGGAATACAGTAGAAAGTGGAGTTTTGTATTTCTTCTGTTAAAAGTAAAATTGTTACTTTTTTTCTGTACTAGGAAAAACAGAGAACGTAAGACAATGTATTTATGTAACTGTGCTCTTCCGAATGTTGACGACATTGTTCATGTTGGTGTAATGTTAAATAGTAGATTTAATGGCATTGAACGCACCTTGCGTGCATGTAATAAATTACGGAGTGGCACAATGAGTATAGTAAGATGTGGAGCCCATCCAAGTGCTTTAAATCCCTTGACCATAAGTAAAATCATAAAATGTAAAGTATATGCTTCGGCGCTTTATGGTTGAGAATCATGGTGTTTGACAGAAACGGAAATCTTAATGTTAGGAAGAGCTCAGCATTTTATTCTTAAAGCGATTCAGGGTTTTGAAACTAAACCCCGTACAGACATGTGCACAAGCCTTGTTGGATGGACCAGCATTGAAGCGTATATAGACACTAAAAAACTATTATTTTTGGGACGGCTATGTAGACTAGAAATGAAAATAGATAATCAGAATATTGAGAAAATATATGTTGTATGACCTTTTTACCGAGTCTTTGTTATAGGTGCATTTTCCCGCCTAAATGTATGTGGAGTCTCATTGTTAGAAATGCTGTCCGTTCAGCTGAAGAATCGACGTGGCGGGAAAGAATATGAGCCGATAGTGATTTTTCGAGATTTTCTCTTGTCCACAATAGCTTAGTACCTCATGTATTTTGGAAACTGGCAATTAGATATCCCGCTATAAGAGAACCAATATATTATGTTATGAAATTAATTGTTACTATAAGAGATTGTGAAGACGAGAAGAAGTTGTGTCAGAAGTGTGGTTTAATGTATAACGATGGCGCTATACATATAATCTTACAATGTAAATATACAGGGGAATTGAGAGACAAATTATGGTGTGATTTAATTAATATCAAAGATATAATGTTTAGTGTACACTTACATTCAATGTCGGATTACAAGCTTTTTCATATTCTTATGGGTGGAGATATTTCTTTCGAACTTGATCCATCTGATATAGATGATTTTTATAAGACAGCAGTAACTTCCGTACACAAAATGTGTAACCATTATTACAAATAGTGATTCATTCATTAATTAAGGACAAGAGACTGTAAGATAAAACAGGTATCGATGACATATCTTGTGTCACAATTATTACGTCCACTCATTTGTATAGAAAATAATTATCTAAATGATGAGATTTTTTTTATTTCCAAAGGGAGGTAACTCTATGATACGTCAGTGATACTTTGTTGTACGTAAGATAATTGAACAATTTTGTGTTGTTAGTTCAGTATTATGATAACCAACACAGGAAAACTTGTATCAGTATATTACTACATTGTCCTACTATGACACAATGTATTGATAATTCATTATGACTTCTACATTTACTCCCCAAAACTATTGATAAAGGGGAAATAACTCCATGTGTATGTTACGTCAGCAGTTACAATTGTATTCTACTAAACATTATTGTGTCCCGCTCCTATCTAACTTCTGTTCTATATATGTATTATTCTGTTTATGTCAATCTTCGGAATTGGAGGAAATAAAGAGAATAATAATAATTGTTCTTTTACCTACGTTTGTGTTGATGTATTCTCTCTTTCTCTCTCTCTCTCTCTCTGTCTCTCTCTCTCTTTCTCTCTCTCTCTGTCTCTCTCTGTCTCTGTCTCTCTCTGTCTCTCTCTTTCTCTCTCTCCCTCTCATTAGCTTGTTTTCTCTCTCTCTCTGTGACAGTCCACGCGATCGCCAATTTTGCGTTACGTTATATATGCAAAGTCACACTTGGATCATACGCATATTGACTGTTTCAATTTGATAGTTGATTAAAAATAAATAAACGTGTTAAAAGATTGGCAATTATGGAATTGCATATCCTGTAGATCGCTTTGACATGCTATGGACACATTCATAAAAGCGACTAGGAAAAGGGTATAAGTAGAACACTACTTTCGGGAGCTTTGCTCACGTGACAGCCCACGCTTGCCAGCAAAGTCACACTTGACTTCTTCATGAAGACGTGTTCTAATCTCGCTTTTGTATTCTACATATACAAAAGGAAAAAAACTTAAACGCGGTATTTCAAATCTATTCACTTCAAAGCACAATAATTTAAGAATACCAACGAAATAAGACATTGAAGTAATGTCGGGTATTACATTTTGTAAATTGTGAAATTAAATTTCGGTCCTCACCTCCGTTTAAATAATCTTATTTAATATTTTTACCTGATGCCCTTTGTGTATCACGGTATAGGTAACGTATATTGAACGTTTGTGAAACAGATCCGCTACACCAGTACCCAATAGCTTCAAAATCTCACCGTATTTCAGTTTTTTTCGTAAAATTATTGCTACGTTAAGTAACCAAATGGTTATTATAAACAAAAATACCTCAAGGTAGGTTTGGTTTTATTAGTTGCATTGAATTTTAAGTGAAACAGCACCATGTATGCAAATGAGTGTTTACCAACACAGACGTCTTTACAGAACATATATAAGAAATACACAAAAGGGTGGATGGTGGGGTTTGTCACCTCCAAAAAGAAGCCTTCAAACATTAGATGCAGTAGCGCCAAGTAATGAATTAAACTGCACCTTACCACAGTTTCGCCCTTATTCCTCTCATCAGTGATATCAAGGGACTAAAATTCTGAAGGCTTAGAGGCGACTAAGGCAAATCCAATCTGATCGAAAGACACTGGACGTTTCTCCATTGTGTTAAACTGTCAGTGTAAATTCTATTAGTAATAACTATAACAGACAAACGGGATTCAATTTTCTTTTTTGAAAGAAACATTGACATTTCAAACTTTACAATTAATAAGTCTAGTATCAATAACGTAACGGTAGCACAGTGATAAGATCCCTGCTCTCAGATGCAAAGCTCTTGTATCGAATACTCATATCATTCCTTTTTTGAGGGAGATGGCATTGTGTTTTACTATTTTCTATTTTGTTTCGAAAGGAAACATTTAAATATGAAACAATTATATTGTTGGTTGTTTCAGATGTGAAATGATGTGTAAAATATCAATCTAACAATTTTTACATCGTCTCCAATCCCAAAAACTTCTGTGTATCTCTCTCTGCCTCTCTCTCTGCCTCTACTCTCCCCTTCTCTCTCTTGTTTTCTGTTTTCTCTCTTTCCTTCTCTCCTCCCCCTCTATCTTGTTTTCTCTCTCTGTCTCCCTCTCTGTCTCTTTCTGTATCTCTCTCTGTCTTCCTCTCCCTCTCTCTCTCAGTCTGTCTCTCCCTCTCTCTCTGTTTCTCTCTCTCTGTCTCTCTCTCTGTATATATATAAAATTCAAATCCTCTATCATTTCTCTATCATTGAAATTATGTTAGTTTATTAATCTTCAGGTAATTTGAATATATCCGAAACCTGCCAAAATCATAAGACCGGTTTAAGTTTCCAGTTGTTAAGAATCACGCGGATTGATCATCTTATTTCTTATTTTCTGTTCTGTTTTTCAGTGATGCCTGTCATGGGTAAAATCGCCCAGGTACACTTGAGTTTCGGTTCAGCGAATGACAGCATGAAAGTGACGTGGTCAACTTCTGCTGATGTCATGTGTCAGGCTGAATATTGGGCAACTGATGGACAGCGCATGCGCGTGGAAGCCCGTCAATCGGAGCTGCTATCGGACAACTGGAAAGCCATGAGATTTATACACATGGCCGAAATGCTTGTTAGTAGAGAAATTCATTCACCGGAATTAGAGCTCAAAGATGAGTTGGATGTGATCTGTAATATCGTTATAATGTATTCAGTATTAATTATCTAAACTACGTTTACTTTCAAAATCTGATATTGGCGACTTAGGTGTCCAATCGTCCGTCAACGTTTAAGTTGTCCGCAGCATAACACTACTGATAGGTTCTGGTGTTTGATTAATTCTCGTAAATTCTTCCCTGCATAAAGATTTCGTTTGAATATAAAGGTCAGACATTAAAATTAAGGTAAATCAATATTGAATTTTGTGTAAAGTTCTCGTCTTATTTCGATTAATTTTCACATTTGTCACTACAGAAATATACTGAAACAAGAATAAACAGGCGCACTTAACTGTATACATAGAGTTTTAGTCAAATTATGATACTTGGTCATTGTTTTACCCTGGTATATTTGCCTGTTTTTATCTCCTACTTTAACATATCCTAATGTCACGTTATAACATGTCCATGCCTCCTGTTATAACCCATGTCCCATCCCAACCGCGAATCTTTCTCTTCACTGAAAATTTTCTTTAATTTTATTAAACGCATAACATGTAATGGAGATGGATGGTTAAGTTGGCAAAATCGCGCCGTATCTTTTTTCTATATGAAAAAGATCATGACTTTAAAGCTTTCCCCAGCTTTTCACTCTGACATTTTCTCGAGGTAACACTAATCGCGACAGTGGTTCCATACTTCTGTGTTCCGGAATGATTTATGTGTAGGAAGGTTCTGAAAAACAGAACATTGTAACCTTATTAATGATAACTGTATTTTTTCAGAAATTGTCACCCCTGCAGAACTATAGATATATACTTCAATGCAGTAACGAGACAAGCGAGGAATTTTCTTTTACAACACAATCCCGGACACATGTAAGTTTTCGTGGAACACACAAAATGAGCCATTTTTTATCTTATGATACAAGTGCTAAAGGCAAAAAAGCATCTGTCACGGGGTTAGGTTTTTGATAACAAAAACAACAATTCCACCATTTTCATATTGTTCTTAAGCTTACACCTGAAATCATAGGTAACTGTTCATCATACAACCCTTAAATAATGTATGAGAGCCCTGTTTTGTAACTTATTAAAATTGCCAACAGGACCGACCTGTGAAGTTCATCATTTACGGAGACATGGGGTACAAACCTGTCCACAAAACGGTGGAGTTTCTAACAACGGAAGTGAGGTCAAAAACCTACGACGCTATTTGGCACGTAGGGGATATTTCGTATGACCTTGACATTGACGGTGGTTTGGTAAGTTTTTATATTAGGTCATCTGACCCGAAGGGCCAGGATAGTCTATGGCCATCGTGTTTCGTTCGTCGCCGTGCGCCCTCTGTCGTGCGTAAACTTTCCATTCAAATGACTTCTTCTCAATAACAAAAAGGCCCAGGCTGCTGGCATTAGGCCTGAAGCAGGCTTGAAGTTAAGGCTACCACGTTTGTCAATATCAAAGACCTTGACACGCTTTCAAGGTCACATGGACCAATAACAAAAAGGTTTAGAGTGCTGATATGGGGCTTGTAGCATGATGGGATGGAGGGATATCAAGTTTGTTAATATAAATGACCTTGACCTACTTTCAAGATCAAATGTGTCAAAGATGTTAAAATCTGTAAATAATATCTTCTCTGTAACCAAAAGGTCAATGGTACTGATATTGGGCTACCAAGTTTGTAAATGTGAATGACTTTGATCCATTTTCAATATCACAGAGGTCAAATGTGTTGAAATGTGTAAGCAACTTCTTCACAATTACCAAAAGGCCAAGGGTCTTGATATTGGGCCTGTAGAATGTTTTCCAATATGCAATTTTATCAGAGTAATGGCATTAGTGTAGTGCATCAATAAAGAATATGATTATAAACCAACCAATGTCTTCTATGTAAGCTGAAGTGTAGTGTACCAATTTATCTTAGCCTTTTTGGCGTCTTTCATGTCTAGGTTTTTATAGTCAAAACTCTCCTCGGAGTTCACGAGAGCTGATTTCAAGCTCTAACATGGAATGTACCAAAATATAAGGAATTATACAATTTACAAATGATAAGTGATAAATGTGTTCTGATACCGGCCTTCAGCAGTGTTCTCACTGATACCAGACATCACAAGTGTTCATCAGTAGTTTTCTCTCTGATACATCAGTAGACATCAGTTTTCTCTCATACAAGTCAGTAGTTTTCTCTCTTCTCAAGACATCAGTAGTTTTCTCTCTGATACAAGACATCAGTAGTTTTCTCTCTGATACATGACACCAGTAGTTTTCTCACTGATACAAGACATCAGTAGTTTTCTCTCTGATACAAGACATCAGTAGTTTTCTCACTGATACATGACATCAGTAGTTTTCTCACTGATACAAGACATCAGTAGTTTTCTCTCTGATACAAGACATCAGTAGTTTTTCTCACTGATACAAGACATCAGTAGTTTTCTCTCTGATACAAGACATCAGTAGTTTTCTCTCTGATACAAGACATCAGTAGTTTTCTCACTGATACAAGACATCAGTAGTTTTCTCTCTGATACAAGACATCAGTAGTTTTCTCTCTGATACCAGACATCACAAGTGTTCTCACTGATACAAGACATCTCAGTAGTTTTCTCACTGATAAAAGACACCAGTAGTTTTCTCTCTGATACAAGACATCAGTAGTGTTCTCACTGATACAAGACATCAGTAGTTTTCTCTCTGATACAAGACATCAGTAGTTTTCTCTCTGATACAAGACATCAGTAGTTTTCTCTCTGATACAAGACATCAGTAGTTTTCTCTCTGATACAAGACATCAGTAGTTTTCTCTCTGATACAAGACATCAGTAGTTTTCTCTCTGATACAAGACATCAGTAGTTTTCTCTCTGATACAAGACATCAGTAGTTTTCTCTCTGATACAAGACATCAGTAGTGTTCTCACTGATACAAGACATCAGTAGTTTTCTCTCTGATACAAGACATCAGTAGTTTTCTCTCTGATACATCAGTAGTTTTCTCTCTGATCAGTAGTTCTCACTGATACAAGACATCAGTAGTTTTCTCTCTGATACCAGACATCACAAGTGTTCTCACTGATACAAGACATCAGTAGTTTTCTCTCTGATACAAGACATCAGTAGTTTTCTCTCTGATACAAGACATCAGTAGTTTTCTCTCTGATACAAGACATCAGTAGTTTTCTCACTGATACAAGACATCAGTAGTTTTCTCTCTGATACAAGACATCAAAGTGTTCTCTCTTTTCCTTTCTGGTATATCCCCTCTAAAATATTCTTCACTTATAATGTAATATATAACTAGCAGATTGTTCAGATTTAGTCAATATTATGATTCTGTATCGGGGCTCATTAGCGACTCGGATTTATACGTAGTTTTTTTAAAGCGAGATTTAGAATACTTATGACACAGTTATACATATCTAAATATAGAAATATTTCATTTTGTAGATAGGCGATCTGTTCATGGAACTTATTCAGCCAGTAGCAGCTCACTTGCCGTATATGACGTCACCCGGAAATCATGGTAAATTTGAGAATGTATATACAGATCAGAACTGACAGATTTATGCTATCTTGTATTGACAAACTTCAGCATAAATAAGACTTGTTAACATCTCTTTATCGCAAGAAGAAGAAATCCGAAACATTTCCATAAATTAGTTACAAGAATATCAAAAGGGCATATCATTATGACAGAATGAAATATCATAAAAATGTCTGCTTCTTTGTTGAAAAAATACATTCTGACAGCATACATCTCTCTTCGTCGTTTTGGACAAACTAGTTAGTGTAGTAAACAGTTTTTTCTCATTAGATAATGAATACGGATTTTGCAATAGAAACGTAAAAATGTGAGGTGTGATCACTGTGACCAAAGCTTTTTGTTGTAATAAGTTGACGGCACTATACAACATTAGCTGGAGGATCTGAAAATGGCATGCCTACTATGGTCAATGTGGCTCATTATATCGGTATCAGGGCGCTTCGTTAGTTCGAGTTACCTCCCATTGAACTATCAGTTTTTTTTTCTATATTTCTGCTTTTAACACTTGAGTCAATAATGAAAAAGACATCAAGTACACTGTAGTTTATCCTCTTCAATAGTATACGTAATTTTAATACCTGAACTAACTGCACGTGACAGATAGGCGGACAGTAGACTGACCTTTAGGTGTTCTGTTATAGAAATTAGGAACATTAATAGTGATAGAGTATACACCATGTGTAAAGGAGGTTATTACTGTTGTGGCGTGTAATGTTTTACACAGAATTGAAAAATAGTCTCCATCACTACCGGACACGATTCTCCATGCCAGGAGTCGACTGGCCGATGCCTCTTGACCATCTATGGTACAGTTATAATGTCGGACCTGTTCACTTCATCAGGTAGGACTACGTATTGTTTCCTCCAAGAAAATTGTAAGATTGTCATGTCTTCAGTTATAGAGACGAGTGGGATGGAGAGAAATCAAATTACTATATCTGATGATCTGGATCTCAGATCTCTTCTTCTATTTATGATATGAATTGATATGATGATAATCAGTAATTCTCCCTTTCTGTGTTACCATGTAGATCTATGGTGAATTGATATGATAATAATCAGTAATTCTCCCTATCTGTGTTACCATGTAGATCTATGGTGAATTGATATGATGATAATCAGTAATTCTCCCTTTCTGTGTTACCATGTAGATCTATGGTGAATTGATATGATAATAATCAGTTATTCTCCCTTTCTGTGTTACCATGAGGTATGGTTATAATTACTCGTTTCAGTTTTTCTTCGGAGGTTTATTTCATTAACAATGGTCACTTCGTTTGTAAGCAATTCGATTGGCTGTTGGATGATTTAACACAAGCCAATCAGAACAGAGACAAACAACCGTGGATAGTTGCAATGTGTCATAGACCTATGTACTGTTCTAACGACGACGTTGACGACTGCGCGAGCAAGATATTTGGTCATCTTGTCAAACACGGGTAAGTAAAATGAAATTTGTTTTCTTTAAGAAAAAATGCATAAAATGATCATTAAAATTCCCACTGAAATCGGTCAGACATCAGTAATAATCTTTATTTATAACAGTCTGTTTTATGATGCATCATTCCACTATCCACCTATATATATATATATATATATATATATATCATAATGTATGATACTTCCTTTGAAGAAAGAAAACTACTTGCCCAATATTTTGTGACACAAGGGTCTATTCATAAAAATGAAAGCATATTGTATAAGAGGTGCTTTACTAAACCGGATAAAACCCCCTATATATCCGATAGACAACAACAGGTTATTGTAAAAATTAATTTTTACTTATAGGTTATCGAATTGCTGGCGTTCCAAAAGGAAGTGTATTAGGGCCACTTTTGTTTTCAATATATATAAACAATATTGTTGATAACTTGAGTAGCATTTCTCGTCTGTTCGCTGATGATACTCTATGTCTCTTCGTCTTCTGATGATGGTATTGAAATGCTCCTCAACAGAGATTTAGATATTGATGGTCGAACGATTGACTTACAAAATTTAATCCTCAAAATACAGAAGTGTTATCAATATCCAAATTCAAATTCTGGATACAATCTATCTTTACAGCTCTCGTTTAGTGATGAAATGTTGAGATGTGTTGAAAGTCACAGACACTTAGGTGTAAAATTTAAGGCAGATGCAAAGTGAATGATACTTGTTCCAGAAATCAAAACTCATGTTTGAAAACTTGCATTAATAGAAGCACTGAAAACTACACTGCTCCTAAATTACTGTTATCGAGTTCCTTTCAATCTTATTTTCCGTCTAAAACTTGTGGCACGATTTAGCAAATATTATCAGAAAACAACCACCCAACAATAGTCTTACGCACTTAATTCAAACAAATATCGATTCTTTACCCAACTTCTATTTCGCTGAGAAAAGAAAATCTTACTTACAGAGTTAATATTATAAATGTTCCATCCTGTGTCTGTGGAAATGATTGTGAAGACATTGGTTGTAGCCTGTGTACAAGACAGTGCAAATTTTTATTTGATAATGTATTGAGATATGGTGATATCACTTGATGTTCTATTATGTGGTTCTCCAAATCTGTCTGATGTGGAAAACCAAAATGTTTTTGATATATATTCTATATTTTCAAAACACTTTATCGAAGATAGTAAAATATTCCGAGATCAAGTCTATAATAAGTTAACATTCCATTTCCTTTCTCCTTCTCTCCTCACGTGTACTTTCTATTCCAGTTCTTTCTTTATACATATTTTATCAATGTTTTGTTATTGCTGTCCTGTACATGGTAACGTATTACTACACAAAACACAATACTGTGGTGTAATAACCTGTGACTGGCCGATAGTCATTGTACAATAAAATATGTTGGAATCAGTAATCCTGTTATGTACGTGTTATGTACAATATTAAGATGTGATAACTTGTACCTAACCGATAGTCATTGTACAGTAAAATATGTTGGAATCAGTAATCCTGTTGTGTACGTGTTATGTACAATATTAAGATGTGATAACTTGTACCTAGCCGATAGTCATTGTACAGTAAAATATGTTGGAATCAGTAATCCTGTTATGTACGTGGCCTATTTCTCGCCTGATGATAACTTTATTCAATGATTTCGATAGAGCTCCACAATAGCTAACCAGGATGTCCTAATACGACCACAGTGGGTGCATTTGAAAGAGAACTGAAACTGAAGATCTTTACTACACTATGTAATTATGTAATACAATGTACAATAGTAACCGATGCTGGTTTCGTGTTTCAGCCTTGAAGATCTGTTCTATGCTCAAGGTGTAGACATGATACTTCAAGCCCATGAACATTCCTATGAACGTCTATGGCCTGTGTACAAGGATAAGGTTTTTGCCAAGAACTATAATCACCCACAAGCTCCGATACACATAATTTCCGGCACTGGCGGAGCATCAGAAGGCAGTAATCCTATGGGCAAAGGAGGTAAGAGATTGTCAAACTTTAGTTCAATCGGTTGAGCATGAGATTAATAAGTCAGAGGTCACGGATTCAAATCCCTGTGGAGGCATTGAAATAAATAATGACCTCTGTTACATTGGCGCAAACATAGGGACTCGGAAATAACATTTTGTATTATTTTTACAAGCATCTCTGTAATCCATGGAAACTCGGGGACGAGTAATTTCCAGGAGGGGAGTGTGTAGATCTGGTCAAAACTAGCCGCAATATACCGCTCGGCTAGAACTAGAGCCAGATGTACTGGGTTCGAAACTGAAATAAATAATGACCTCTGTTACATTATTAAAAGGTTACTTTGTATAATAAACAATCAATGTTTCTTCGTTGGTGCAGGATAAGGACACGCAGCACCGAATAATGAAGTAAGTTCTGATTTCTGTTACAGGCCCATGGTCAGCTTTTACATCAACAGAGGGAAGTATGGATTCCTTCGGACGTCTCGTCGTGTACAACTCCAGTCATCTCTATTTCGAGCAAGTGAAGGTCAAGGATGGACAACCACTGGACAGTCTATGGGTTGTCCAGTCCCATCACGGACCTAACGTACCGAACCTGAACTGTTATACTTCGCACGCGCATTATTCATGCAAGTGCCCGCCATATCCCTATATACCAGTAATAGTAATTGGTGCAGTGGTTGCCCTTATTGTCATTTCCATAAGCGTTTACTGCTGTTATTCATGCATAAGGAAAAAGAAACCAGTTTGTTGTAAAATTTGTTGTCCCTCTTTTCAACGGTACTCACCCTTAATCAACGCCGACGGAAATGACAATTTGGTAATATGATGAAAGAATCTTCCTATTGCTGGAATGATCAGTCCACTTATGTAAACTGGAGCCTCAATAGGAGGAGAACGCGGAGTCCATGTTTTATGGATCAATGTTGCAGAATTTTAGAAGATGCCTCTGTCTGAACTGAATAGTGATATCCTGTAGGCGGTGTGTTAAGTTCAAACATCGTATACATCGGAAATACTTGTTAATGACATGTCTTGGTGTGCCAGATGGTACAAAGTTGACAGGAAAATATTTCTGGGTGGTAGAGTGACATGTTCCGGATATTTTCTTCTTTATATGTGAGGTATATATATGTGAAAAACAGGTTTGTTGAATCTAATGTTTAACCAGGAATGTAGTGTGATTTTCACCTATACAGAGTATGGAACCGTTTCTAGCGTTATTTACACTCCTTGTTTTTGTTAACTGTGTTGTGGAAAAGGATCTCTGGATGCACACGGCGCATTGTGTTGACGTTATCTTGGACGAATTGGCCATCGCGACACGCTCTATCATATGTCAACTCGTCCCGAAGGTGATGTGCGACGGTGTGTTACAATATCGAGTGTATTTTGCAAACGGTCATACCTGAGAATAGACGTGTTTTCCACGCTCTCGCTGTGATTGCAAACTATATCATACAGACCTGTTCTGTACTTATATATCTACGCACCATTCTCCTTATATTTATATACATTTACAACAACTGTACATTGATATATAAATGTAAATACTCATAAAAATGCCATTCTTGACCATGATATATTATTTCATTCTTTTTTATCTTTGTTTCGTAGTTTGTTGAGTTAAAGAATTGTAAACGTGTTGTTTAAGATACCAGTTTGATGTCATGTACGGCCCTGAATTGTCGTTTTCGATAAGTACTTATTGAGGCCTATCAACCATTGTATTTATTCTTTTGTAATCGTTTTACTGTACTGCTTACACATGCAAATGATTTCACATACTGATTTATAGAAAACTATAACATATTGGCCGCAGTTTTGAAGACTGTACAACTGTATTGGCGTATTCAGATGGCTTCATTGACTAGTCGCCCGAAAAATATTGTTTTCCTTGTCGACTATTTTTGAATTTCCCCAGTCACTGATATGATATTGCTGTCTAGAATAATCAGTAATTATGTCATTTAATAGAAAAATTCCAAACTAGGAATCAAAATCTAAAATAGTCGACAGAGAAACACAACCTTTTCAGGGACAGAGCTGAGTTGTGGGTGAAGGGGATAGACTCTTGCGCTCTTGTAAGTCTTAAACAAAGCGCAGAGGAATCGATTACAGCGTACTGTCATCAACTTGGGTATTTTTTTCTACATTTTTAAAATACTTTATTGTATATATCATTATAATACAGCCGAAAAAGTTGGTCGATTCCTTGCCATCCCCAACGCTATAAGCGTCAGCGCTAGACGCTTCATACTGGTAATTTGTCTGATTAAGGTGATTTTTTATTCTTTTCATAGAAGATAATTTTACAAAGATATTGATGCAAAGTTATAAAGTTCAGACTTCTATTTTAAAAATGTGTTTTGGGTTTGTGATTTAAGTAATTACCATCTGAACAGCGATTCTACATCACACCAAAATTACCCATAGTGTTGCTGAAATCGAGTCTGAGTACCGACATGGGAGAATAACTTTTTCCAGTTTGAAGAAATCCTCCTTACCAGACATCTTTCAGCGGTTAACATCCACTTTTACCATAATCACAACTGAAAAACGCAAGGATATCAAACTAAAAATGAAACTGTTACATGTTGTTGTTTAAATCTCACCTGAGTGTTGCTGACATGATGTAGTTCACCAAACTTATCAAACCACTTTTTCCATAATCACAACTGAAAAACGCAAGGATATCAAACTAAAAATGAAACTGTTACATGTTGTTTAAATCTCACCTGATTGTTGCTGACATGATGTATTTCACCAAACTTATCAAACCACTTTTTCCATAATCACAACTGAAAAACGCAAGGATATCAAACTAAAAATGCAACTGTTACATGTTGTTTAAATCTCACCTGATTGTTGCTGACATGATGTATTTCACCAAACTTATATAATGGCTTTAGGTGATCATTTTCATGATAAATATTTATTATCAAGAACAAACAACGTATTGAAAAAGGTGAGGGACACATATGTCTACCTTCACCTCACCAAGAAGGGGGATAAGATGATGATCAACAATTCAAATTATTGAAAGGTTCAAAATATTATGAAAGTACATATAATAGTGGTAGTTTTATTTTAGCGCTTTTCGCGCAGAAAGTATGTGTAACGCGCTAAAATGGGAATGTGATAATTATAGTATCTGTAGACACGCCCTTCATCAAGTCGCTAATTGACTTAAGCAGTTATATTGCTCTAAATTTTGATTGGACCAAATAGAGTACGTTTAGAGCACCTTGTTAAAGAAAATGTTTATGACAAATTATGGAGCTGAAATTATTGCCAAAGATTGTCAGTGTTAGGTAGTGTTAGGTACGTTGTCTAGTTCACCAACCAGGTGCACATGTACCGATCGATATAATCGATAACTACAATTGTATACAATGTCTTTCTCAGTTTATTTCCGTCTGTTTAAATCCCTTTAAACTTCAAGTGCCGTAATGTTTCATGTTCAACATTAGCGTCATACTGGAATTGATACATTTCGTCGAATACTGAAATTTTCATTTGTATGTGTTGTTTCATCTAAATTGTATCAGAATTCGTTTGATAAAATGTGATATCTGTATAGTGATTTAGTCTTTTTGGGTATATCTAATTCTTTTCTGGAAGATATTAGACACATCCATTGTTTACGTCCAATTTTTGAATGTTTTATACTCGCACCTTATGGTGGTTAAAGTAATTTAGTAATAATTCATCATCTGTTACACTAGAAATTGTTGTATCTGAGGTCGTTTATTTTGTATATCCACATAGAAAATGTCCTTGTTAATGTTGTATGTTGTGTATGAACATGTTCAGGTTAGTAAGTATGGTCTTTAATGTTGAAATAACCTCAATTAGAATAATTCAAGATATGAAATAATATTAGAATGGCATTTGTTTATTTGATGTATGAGAAAAGTCATGGTTCGTATAACAGCAGACGAACCACGAATAATGGTGCTCCTTTTTTTCTTTAAATGTTGAATCTCAAAAATGTATCAATGTGTTGAAAAGTCTCATTCTTATGTCAAATACAAATCTGATTTACACAAGATGTTTGTTTATTAATAGTGAACGTTAGGAAAACGTAATACTATAAGCTTACTTTCTTGTGTTTATCGCGCAATGTCAAAAGGCATTTAGGCAAAAGTAGACGATAACAGTGATATAGCACAGTAGACTACCTACAATGGACGCTTATAATGTGATACACTATAAAATCAGATATTTTTGTGGGACTTAATATTTGTGGTATTTTGAAAAACACTATTTCGTGGACACTTGATTTCGTGGATAATATAGTTGAATAAATCTGCTTATGCTATTTTAACAGATCGTGGACATAAGATAAGGTTTCGCTGATTAAGAGTACTGAAGTGAAGCTTGAAAATAAAACCTCTCGAAAATTAATGATTTTACAGTGGACACTTTAACACGCGGACTTACGTGAAATACTTGTATGATTTGTCACATCATTGCTTGTTTAAGAAACTCTAATAACATAAAGATACCATAACGATATAATCAAACATGCGTATTGGGAATTCAACAAAGAGCAACAGTCCAGAGAGTATCGCGGTTATACCCTACGTTTCTCGCGTTATCGAGGGTACCACAACACTCGAGGAGAGACTGGCAGTTGTGTATTTACATGTAGCTATTCTGTGATTCTAGTATAACGTCTTCAAACAATAGTATACAATGATTTAATCACATTTCTAAAAGCGTGCCGAATGACATTTATCCAATAATTGTCTTGTGTGGTCAGTAATAGTTCCTTGGAACATAATCTTTATATAGATATGACATTAAATTTACCATCACTCTTTAAGCTCTCATCCACTTTGTACATTTTTCTGTTCGTTTTACTTTTTATATATACTTAAACAGTTGGAGAATGAGATCTTGTTTGTTTTTATTATTACGCAAACGTCAATACGTTGAAGTAGATTAAATAAAAACACATAGTTATACCTACCCTGTATACTTCAAAATAATAGTGATAAGTCTTGTATACAGTTTGATTATGAACATGTCTGTTTGTGGTCTGACGCTCATTATAGCGTCAAATGAGAACAGGAAGTTAAAGCAAACAATTGAAAACGATTAAGTAGGAGAAAAGGAAAAGAAATGTCTCTAAGGGCTACATGGAAACAGTAGTTTTCTTCTCGATTTCTTCGATCTACTTCAGCAGAACACAGAGTTTATTTTTACTTGATACAAGACAGCATGGTATGGAATTCAGGCCTACCCTCTCTCGATTAAAATGACAATTACACATATGTTCTATTAGTTCGGCTAGGCCGAAGGGGCAAGTGAGCGTATGGTATACCGCATACCGTGGAGCCAATATAGAGGAAATTCAATATTTTTAGTTCACCAGGCTCAATGCACTGGTGAACTTAAGTCATGGCGCGGCGTCAATGGTCCGTCAGAGTATGGAGTCTGGAACACACAGGGTTATCCTTTACATGACACATGTCGTTGAAATACAGGACCCTTACCTGCTGTGGGACACCCTTTTCCTATGGCTCTTGTCGAATCTATAAAGATTAGAGCAGAAAGTCCCCTAATGTAACTTTGGTGTTGTCCCCTTCTCTGTCTCCGGAATGCCTCGGAAACATCAGGTTGTTCACCATCGAACGACATTGTAAGTCAGTAATAAAATCCTTAATGGCAATGTCTTTCAGCAATGTGTCGACGTCATCAGACTTACAGGAATATCAATGACGGTCTTCATATTCTTTGTCCATTGCGATGATCTCTATAATAACTTTGACCTTATCGTACTTTCAATTTCATTGGCAACCTTTACTTTATAAGTGTCTTAGAGGGATTTTCTCTACATGTTGACTTTCTGACTGCTTTGTACCTA